AAATTACGTCTGATTTTGTTTTAGATTGTTTCACAATCTGTCTGATCCCCTTATAGTAAGACAAAATGTCTTTACAGGATTAGATTTGGTGGAATTTCAACCCTTGACTTATTTTGCAAACGGAGTCTAAAATGACGGTTGGGTCCATAGACTGAGGATGTTCAAACACATACCACATTAATTATGTGAAACAGCTATCCTTGCATCTCATCTGGAGGTCATCTCAAAGACATCTCATAGGATTTTACGGTAAAGTGCAGTCACTGTGTATTTTACAAGCAAATGTAACTGATAGGTTCGCAGTTACGGCGCAAAGATTTCATGAGTTAATTACAGAATTAGTTGCACTTTTTTGCATCAATCTTATTAACCCAACCAATGTTTTAGTTTCCCCTTTGTTTACTCTGAGGCTAATCCACAACTGAGACAGATTGCCAAGAAGGGTGGTAGAGGCCAGGACACTGCGATTCATTTAAAAAGCAGCTTGATGTTGTGATGGGGGGGCACGGTAATTATAAAATAATAATAATTCGTGCATTTGATATTGCACTTTATGTCATCAAGACATCATAAGATATACTGTAGGGTGGATGTCCTGGAACAATGAATCGGATGGGCCAAAGGACCTTTTTCATCCAAACCAATTTCTGAACATTTAATTTTACTTAAAGCACATTAATTTTACTTTAAGATGCACCAAGACAATAGAACAAGAGGACATAGTTTAGTGTTGCAAAGGTCAATTTACAGGACCAGGAAGTTTTTCTTTACTCAGAGGGCAACTAACAAATGGAATATGTTGTTAGGAACTTTGGTTGAGCCCAGGACACTGGGATTAATTTAAAAAGCAGCTGTGATGGGAGCACAGTAGGATTGATATTCTGAAGGGATGAGATCAGATGGGCCAAAGGGCCTTCTTCATCCAAACTATACTTGTGATCTTGCGAACGAGTTGTGAGAAATAGCAACAACAATAAATTACATTTGTATAGCGCCTTTCAAATCGGGAGATGTCCCAAAGGTACTGGACAGTCAGGGATTTGGACCCGGCCACAGGATTGGTATCAGGAGAGGTGGAGGGCACGGAGGGTAGGGTTAGGAGGGTGAACAAAGGTGAGGTTGAAGAGGAGGGTCTTGAGATGTGTCTTGAAGGAGACAAGGGAGGGAGCGAGGCAAGGGACGGTGCGATGAAGTTCCAAAGGGTGGGGGCAGAGATGCTCGACCGCCAATGGTGGGCCGGGCGGGGATGTGGAACAGACCTGCTGAGCGGAGGGAGTGGACAGGTTGGTAAGGGGTTAGCAGGTCACAGAGGTTGGAGGAGCAAGGGTGTGGAGGGCTTTGAAGGCGAGGAGATTGTGAACTCTAGAGGATGGGGAGTCAGTGGAGAGGGTATAAATAATAATAATAGTCCTTGCTTTTGACACAGCACTTTTCACATCTTCTAGACGTCTCAAAGCGCTTCAAAGAATAGACTGTAAAGTGAATTGACTGTATATTTGTGGGCGAAAGGATGGGCTGAATGGCCTGTTTCTGAGCTGTACTATCTATGAATCAATGAAACAGCCTCAAAAGCCTTCTGCTCCATCTCCTTTAAGGTGACATTTTCAAAGCAAAACAAACACATTCGAAGTCAAGGATGCGAATAGGCAAAAACATATTCTGGAAAAGCATATTTATTGTCTGTTTGGTGTTTGGTGAGTATAGGAACTGCTGATCCTCCTGGTAAACTTTACAACTACAACTTGCATTTATATAGTACCTATCACGCAGGAGAGAGTCTCGGAGCATGGCACAGTGACAGGTTTTAAGGTTGTTGTAATATTCTAATGTGATTTGTAGTTTTCATTAATCTCCAATCTTACTATCGAGCTCCTTTCTTTAATTGTTTCCGATAGTAGATTTTGTTATTGTTGTTTTCTTAATAATAATAATAATAATCCTTGCATTTGATATAGTGCTTTATCACATCTTCGAGACGTCTCAAAGCACTTCACAAAAGATACTGGTACTATTGTACTGTATTATTGTATTGTACTGTATTAACATTTTAGGTTGATTGAGTTAAACAGACATTTGTTATTGGAAACCCTGCAATTCTTATTGAGTTTCAAGAATGTTAGAATCAAGCCCACCTTCTGTGGCATTCTCCAGTCCAACTCCTGAGCCAGACGGGTCCACAGTACTCTACAGCACTCTTGATGACAGCGCAGCCTTGGCAGGACTTGGTCCGCATAAGCCACCATCAAACTCTTGAGCTCTACACTACCTGATGGACTGCACTCTCCCTCCCCACTGATTGACTGATAGAGCAAGGGTAATAATAATAATCTTTCCATTTGACACAGCGCTTTTCATGCCAGGAGAACGTCTCAAAACACTTCAGCAACAACAAGATCAACTTGCATTTATGTAGCGCCCTTTACGCCGGACGGCATCTCGGAGCGTTTAAATGTGTCAGGAAGAGTGGTTGAGGCAGTCAAAGATTTACTGTAAAGGCTGTATTTTGTGGGTGAACGCAGCAGCTGATTTGCACACAGCAATGCCCCACTAACAGACTGGAAGTGAATGAGCAATTTTATTTGTTGGAGTTGTTCGCCAGGACAGGAGGTGAAACTCCCTTTCTCTTTATGAGTAGTGACCTGGGAGCTTTAACATCCACCCGGACAGGAAGACCTCGGTCTCGTTGACATTCAACTGAAGAACGTTAGTTCTCATCCAGGACTTGAGGTCTGACAGCCATTCTCGATCGGAAGGACGACACCTCCAACAATGCAACGCACCCCTAGCACTGCATTGGAGTGTCAGTCCAGACCACGTGTTCCACGTCCCCACGTGAGGCTTGGACTCACAACCGTCTGACTCAAGAAACAAGAGTGTGACCGATCAAGCCGGGCTGACACTTTTGCCCCTTTATTGCCATCTAGCGTTGATTTAGGACTTTGCACCAAACTTTGCTCAGAAGTGAAACTCAGCAACTCATGTGTTTTTAATAATTATCCTTTGCATTTGACATAGCGCCTTATTACATTGTTGATCAACAATCAACTAACAACTGGGTTTCTATTTACCGCGAGGTAAACAGAGGCGTGTGGAGGAAGGAAACTTGCCTAAGGTTTCGCCCTGTTGTTGTTGTTGCCCGGGAATCGAACCAGGGTCCTTTCACTTGCGAGGCGAGTGCTCTAATGCTCTAACCACTACGCAACAGGACTAATTGTTGGCTGTTCTTGCTTTTTTCTTTCAACCTATGAAAATTAAGTTTTTTTTCCGGTTTGCTAAAAATTCCCATTGAATCGCATGAGCCACAGATGTAGATTTTTCTTTTTTTTAAAAAAAAACCCTTCTAGTTCTGAGATCATTGACACAAAGGAACATTCACAATAGTTATAACTCAGTCGCTTGTTTCTCCTTTTGCTAGAAAAAATCCTTTTGTGTTACAAAGGCAAAAAGGAGAAAAGCTAAGTCTTTATTTTAAAAGAAAATATCTTGGAACAGCGTAAGTTTGATGTAAACTGCAGTGACACTCCCAGATTTTTGTTTAATTCCTGTAGTCAATACTGGGAACAATCTTATTGCTATGTTACGTTTACAACTGCGGTAACGCAAACACTATCGGCAAGTTGTGGTATTCAGCTTAATTGGAATCCTTCCCCACATCACAAATAATCTTTGCACAGCAACTTGCCGCTAACATCCATGAAGTGAATGATAAATTTAATGTTTCATGTATATATCCAATTCCCTTTTAAATCTGCTTCCATCACCCTATCAGGCAATGTATTCCAGATCATAACAACTTGCTATGTAAAAATAATTCTCCTCATCTCCTCTCTAGTTCTTAAATTGACGAGAGTTCCAAATGATAGTTGTGCTGTTTTCTATTACTCCCATCCCTTTAAACTTTGGGTATAGTTTGTTTGCATTTTTAATGTTACATAGATTTGTTTGTCTCCAAAGGAGAAGTTCCACCCACGCCTCGACTTACTCTATTCACAACGTCAGTCTGAATGTTGAAGTTAGTTCTCTTTCAGCTCCTAAAAGAACTCATAGAAACGGGCTTCAAAAATTAAGGCTGCTTTTAAGAATTTACCATCTTCTGGGAAATCTAAATTTAAACAATAATAAACCTTACGATTGTTTTCATGTCAGAAGAACATCTCAAAGCGCTTCACAGAATATACTGTAAAGTGTAGTGATTGTATTTTGTGGGCAAACCTCGCACAGCATTTGCACACGGCAATGTCCCATAACACCCATGAAATGAATGAGCAATTTTCTTTGAGGGATTGTTGGCCAGGACACTGGGAGACCGAGGTTCCCTTCTCTTTTGCAATAGTGACATGGGGTTTTAATATCCACCTGAACAGACAAACAGGACCTCGGTTAACGTCTCATCTGAAGGACAGCACCAACGATTATGCAGAGCAACCCCAGCACTGCGCTGGAATGTCGACATAAACTATATGATTTCCAAGTCCTGACGTGGAAGGGGCTGCATTAATAGAGTAAATCCAGACTCAGGTGGAAGTTAATAATGACAATAATCCTTGCATTTGATACAGTGCCTTATTTTGTCATTGAGACGTCTCAAACCACTTCACAGAATATACTGTAAAGTGAATTGACTGTGTATTTTGTGGGCGAAACGTGACAGCCAATTGCGCACAGCAGTGTCCCACAAACAGTCGTGGATTGAGTGACCCAGATTATAATTATTATTTTTCTCCCCACGTAACAATTTGACTACCACAAATGAAAACAGTAGTGTTCTTCAGTTAAAGTGCAAACACCACAACTGTCATGGACGAAAGTAACAAACATAAAAAAAAATAATTGAAGGCTATCTAAAATCACCCGGTTACTAAAATGGTTGTTAGAATGGTAGTTTTGTTCTGCTTTTCTCTTTTTGTTAAAAAAAAGTTCTGCTCCATATTTACATCGAGTGTCTAACACGAGTTGTTAATTAAGAAAAGTTTCAGTTTGCAAACTATTTCCGTGTAGTTTTTATACAAAAATAATTTATTTACTTGACTGTGATGTGGTTTGAGTATCAAAGTAACAAGGAGATTCACTTGTTTGTACTGCCGTTGTCACTTTTCCCGGCTTCTATGTCAGTTAGACTGTCCGTTTCATCGGATAGATATCCGCTTCCAAAGGTTCTGACCCTGTTCTCCAGCTTCGTGAGTCTCTGCTTCAGCTTGAGTTGGGTGGAGTTGTACTGAGCCATAAGCCGAGCGAACCGAGTCTGCAGGTTGTCCAGCGAGGATTCCATTCTTTCCACTTTCTCCTCCATATCCTTGGAATCCGGCCCTGCCTTTGCTGCCTCCTCGTCTATCAAGTTGTCCTTCATCAAGATCTGTCGCCCCTTCTCTTCCAGGATCTTCTTGGCGTCCGGGTACTCGGTCAGTGCCTCCATCAGGTCGTCTTTGGACAAGCAGAAAAGATCGGAGTAACCGATGCTCCTGATGTTAGCTGTCCGCCTGTTACCTGCCTTGCTGCCCTTTATGTTCAAGATGCTGATTTCGCCAAAGTAACTGCCGTCGCTCAACACGACAAACTGGGTGATGCCGTCCTCAGCAACGACCGCCAGCTTGCCTTCTTTGATGATGTACATCTCCCTGCCAATGTCCCCCTTCCTGCAGATATAGTCACCTGGGCTGAACACCTGAGGCTGTAGTTTCAGCACCAGCTCAATGAGAAGCCCTGCTTCGCAATCGGCAAAGATCCTGACCTTTTTCAGCGTATCCAGGTGGACGTTGATGGCAATCTCAGCCTTCAGCTTGTCGGGGAGGTTCTTGAGCACTTCCTTCTCATCCACCGTCTTCTTGTTGGTCCACAGGTAGTCGAACCACTTGATGATCCTGGCCTCCAGGTCTTTGCTGACCTTACGGAACTGCATGTACTGTTTGATGGAGTCGATCTTGGTCTGGAACTCAGCCCGCGAGGCGTTCATGTTGGAGATCATCGAGCCCACGTTACCCACGATGGTAGCAAAGATGAGCACTCCAACCAGAAAGTCAATCACCACGAAAAGGTATTCAAAGTCCCTGACCGGAGGAGGTGTCTCCCCAATGGTGGTCAATGTCAGCGTTGACCAGTAAAGGCAGTAGATGTATTTCCTGCTGAGCCTGCCATACTCCGGGTGTGAGATGTTGGGGTAAACCCAGGTATCTGTCCCAAACCCAATCATTTTGGATATGGCGTAGAAAATACAGCCATTCCAATGGATGATGATCAGGATGTACAGAACCAGGATCCCGATACGGAATATGTTCGGATAGTTGGTCCTGGTTTCCGTCCGGTCAAAGAATTCAAACATGCGGGCGAACCTAAAGAGACGATTGAACCTGAGTTCCGGGTAATTCATCCCCACCTTGAGGTAGCCCAAGTCCGTTGGGAGGAGAGAAATTGCGTCCATCCTAAACTGAGGGGTTTTCGTGTAATTGGCTCTTAGTTTCTTTGAGTCCTTGACCAGCAGTCCTTGTTCGAGAAAACCTGGACAAAGAATTGAGCAAGGTGTTATATAATAATAATAATAATCCTTGTATTTCATATAGAGCCTTTCCATGTTGTCAAAACATCTCAAAGCGTGTCATGGAATTTACTGTGAAGTGAATTGACTGTATATTTTGTGGGCGAAACATGGCAGCCAATTGTGCACAGCAGTGTCCCATAAACAGTTGTGGGACTCATTTTTTTTTAAAAAGGAATTATTATTCCCAGAAAAGTGATCTGCAAATCGACTAACAATTGGGTTCCTACTTACTGGTGTGTCAACAGAAGAGTGTGGAGTAAGGAAACTTGCCCAACATTTCACTCTGCCAGGAATCAAACCCAGGTCTCTCACTTGCGAGGTAAGTGCTCTAACCACTGAGCTACAGGACTCCAAAATAATCTTTGCATTTGATATATAGCATCTTATCATGTTGTCGAAACATTCTCAAAGCGCTTTACAGGATATACTACTGAGTGGTAGCCTGTAAATCAGAGGAGAAGAAAACCAAAACATCTCACAAAATAGAAATAGTAAAAAAATCTCACCTGTCCGAAATCTTACTAACACATCTATTAAGTATATGACGTCTGCTGTATAATCCAATACCAGCCACAAGGTAAGGTGATCCACTTGAAGTTCATCAAAACAAGCCCTAAATGATAATAACGTGCAATCAAGACACAGCATTTAATTCATCTTTTTCTTATTGGTTAGTTGGCTGTCTGACACACGCACAAACTCTTCAGCATGGTCAAGGGCATCCAAATAACAACAGCAGCAGCAAATTATACTTGTATATAGCGCCCTTCACGTCGGAAAGACGTCCCAGGGCGCTGGGCAATCAGGTGTTTTGGACCCGAGTTGGGGTCAGCAGGGGTGGAGGGCAGCGAGAGAGTTCCATGTATGTATGCTAACAACACATAATAATAATAATAATCCTTGCATGATATAGCGCTTTTCACGTCGGGAGGACGTCCCAAAGCACATGGGAATTTCCCTGTGTTTGGAATGGAATGCACACTCTCTCCCTGGAGGAATGCATCCTGCTTTTTTAATTCCGGAGAATATTAGCCGCAGGTTGGCGAGAGCTATGGGTGGGGGACCCAAGAGTGTGCTTTGGGATACTGCTGGAGTTTAAACAGCTAAAAGCGCTTGGTGAATGCTTACTGACAAGTTTTGTGCTGTTTTTCCAGCTAGGACCACCGTATCTGCTATAAGGCTTTGGCTTGCAGGGTTAGCAGGAGCTGAATGGGAAGAATCCTTGCTTCCAGGGATCCCCCTGACAAATCAGGCTGGCTGGTCTGTCATCAGCAGTGCCCTGGTGTATTGCGGACTTGCCTGACTTAGGAACTGGACTACTGAAACCGGCAGAAAAGATCGACTCATTTCAGGCATTCTATTACAAGCGTGGCATCTTGGAGCCAGCTCATCCTTAAGGAGCCCCCTGATTACTCCCCTCCCTCCCATCCCTTAACTTGTATGTTAGTGCGTGGAAGCTGGCCAGCATTCAGGAAACAAGTGGGTGGGCAGGGCACATGGAGAATAAAAGCTGCTAATGCAACTCGGCACAGGGTGGATTTTATGGATCCCCAAACACTGCATTGTAGAAGCTTCACTGTACATGGAACTCTATAGCTAGAGTAACCAAGGAACTCCATGATGCCAGAGCTAGAGATACCTACTCTGTCCCTCTGAGAGAAAGTCATGTGACAAAGCCCTGCTCTTACTAGTTATAGCTTAAGTCGCAAATGTTAAGCCGTAAAGCAGTTGCTTTACCAGGCACTGATGCCTCTTTTACAGTGCCATCACCTTATATATGTTATAATAATCCTTGCATTTAATATAACGCCTTATCACACTGTCTCAATGCCTCGAAGGGTTTCACAGGATATACTATAAAGAGGAGTGACTGTGCATTTTGCGGGTGAAATGCAGCACCGAATGCGCACAGCAATGTCCCACGAACAGTCATTGAGTCAGTGACCAATTTTATTTGAGGGATCGTTGGCCAGGAAACCGGGAGAAACTCCCCACTCTTTTTGAATAGTGCCACTGCATCTTTAATTGGTCCACTTGAATAGGTGGGACTCCAATTAATATCTCATTGGAGAATGGCGTCTTTAACAATGCAGCACACCCGCAGCACTGCACTGAAGTGTAGGCAGAGACTGTGCCAGTTTCATGGGACTTTAAACCACAATCTTCCAACTCAGAGGCGAGAGTGTTACCGTATGCTTTGGGTGACAAATTGCAAAGAAAAAGACGTGGTCATTTGGAACGAGTTTCAGCTAGAGTCATAAGGGATACCTGCACACCAACATGCACCAATTGTACATCACTGGTACGAAGATAATGGACAGCCATCTGTAGTAGAGGTTCCCTGCAGGATCGATGATGAACATTTCTTTCTTCTTCCTAAGAACCCAAAACACAATGAGTTTCCGTGCAAAACAAACTTTCAGTGGGTGCTCCTTGTATAATAATAATAATAATCCTTACATTTGATATAGCGCCTTATCACGTCTTTGAGACGTCACAAAGCGCTTCACAGAATATAGTGTAAAGTGAATCGAGTGTATATTTTGAGGGTGAAACACGGCAGACAATTGCAAACAGCAGTGCGCAACAGATTATCTATTCTAAATGATAAGATTCAGGGGATTGCAAGCCATTAATTCCTGGTTGCCTTGTCCCTGCAAAAGAAGCTCAGTTATTCGATAGCGATGTAATCAGATGGAGGCAATGGTGACCAAAGGTAAGCAAAAAAAATATTTAGTTTGCTAACCAATCTGAGAAATATTATAAGATAGTGACAACAGCCAATAATACACTACTCCTGTGTCATCTGATGTAATGTGTGTTACCGTGTTCTGACCTTGGTCCCATACTAATTGGGGACCACAATAAGTAGAAACAATATTATTTCCATACAGATTGTTCTATGGTCAGGGTCTACGCACTGACCTGTGTAATGATGCTCAACACTGGAGAAGGCGACTCCATCCTATACCACCTGAGAGAGACTCAGAGTGAAAGAGAGAGATTGAGAGAGAAAGACTGAGAGCGCAAGAGACTGAGAGAGAGATTGAGAGAGAGACTGAGAGAGAGCAAGAGAGAGAGGGGGGAGAGAGGGGTCCCAGCTCCATTTCATAACTCTCCATCCCATAGAAATTTACAGCACAGAAGTAGGCCATTCGGTCCATCATGTCTGTGCTGGCTCTTTTATGAGCAATCCTTTGAGTCCCATTTACCTTCCCTTTCCCCCATAACCCTGTAGTTAACTGGTTTAAACCTGAAAATTCTTTATATCTAAACTTTAGAAATCAATGAGAAATGCAAAGCAGTAAAAAAGAGTACAGTGAACTACCATATTGTCTTTAGTTGAAGAAAGTGTAACGATGATAGGCTCTACATTTAGGGCTGCTATTGAACTACCTTCTGTCCTTGCCATTGCTAATTCTCGTGCTTAGCTGTTACCATGAGTATAATTCAAGCTCCGAAATACGCTATGAAAATATTTTCAAACATGACCATCCCAACAGGGCGGTTAATAAAAAATATGTGTATATGAACCCGACAGCCAATTTGTGCTCAGCAACATCCCACAAACAGCTATGAAGGGAATGAACAATTTATCTGGGGTATTCTTGGCCAGGACAAACTCATGTCTCTTTTCGAAAAGAGACATGGGATCTTTACCGTCTTCTTGAACAGGCAGACAGGACCCCGGTTTGGGCTCTCAACCAAAGGGTGGCACCTCCAGCAGTGCAACACCGTATTGATTTGTCAGCCCAGGATGTGATCAGATCACAGTCCCAACACAAACCCATAACCTTCTGACTCAATCTGACTCAGAGCTTCTCGTAGCGCCTCAGGCTCAGAGGAGAGAATCCTAGCAACAGAGCTAGGCTCTCGCCTAAATCATTTTAATGAGCTTGATATCGATCACTTACTCTTCTTTCTTTTTATCATCTTTCTTGTCATCTTTTTTGTCGTCTTTCTTCTCCTTTTTCTCTTCTTTCTTTTCCTCTTTTTGGTCCTCTTTCTTCTCCTCCTTGCTGGACCGGTGAACAGCTATTTGTATTTAGCAGCTTATGGCACGGCTAGGGGCACTATATCTATGGGGGTCAGGTGTAACAATAGGTCCAAGACTGCTAGATAGTCACAAATGCATGGCAACTATCATTGAACAGGACTAGCCACAAACGCAATGACTCTCTAGAGCTTATTAATGCCCCCATCAAAAAGATGGACACATGATTCCAATATTCCTAAAGAATATTGAGTGTTGTAATCACACAGAGGGTGGTTGGAAGGAGGAATTCTCTGCCCAAAAACACACAGCCTGTGAACTCCTTTAAGAGGGAATCAGACAAAGGCTCGAAGTGGGGGAGTATTAAAGAATGTGGGGGGAGGGATGTTAACAAGCAGAGGAGTGAGACCCGATTAGGAAGCTCATGTGGAGGAAAAACATGGCAGGATGGGCTGAATGGCCTCTCTTTGTCTGCTGTAACATTTTATGATTCCGTCAATCAATGGTTCAGGATCACTTGTGTATTGTCTGCAATTGGGAAAACCATTGCTTTTGGCTGTGCCCTTATTCTATCCACAATAGATAGAGTATGGACACACATACATAGCCTCTATGCCATATGCTTTGTGCATTCTTTACCGTGGCCAGATCCGTATTAATAATCCTAAAGCAATTTGATTTCAATATGATTGAAGACACTGGTGTCTCTATCCTGTAGTATTCGGAGTTTGTTCTGCCAGTGCCTAGAAGGGAGTGTGGTTATCCCACAGTCAAAAGATATCCCACCAGAAGCGGAGAAGACAACTGTCAGTCTCACCCTGTGCCAGGCCCTAACTTGACACTTAAAAATAACCTTAAACCTTTGCTTTGTCGGTGAGCATCGCAGTCAAAGTAACAGAGTAGAGCTGTGGCTATAGTGGACTAGCGGAGATTTTCAGTGTTTTCCACACATTATTATAACATACTTTTCCCCACAAGTCATTTGTTTGATTAGGAACATAGGAAGACAGGAACAAGAGGAGGCTGTTTACACCATTGAGCCACTTCCAACAGTTTATTAGATCTCATCAGATCTTTTAATTCAAACGTTTTGCCTTTTCGCTATATTCCTTAAAACATCTACCACCCAATTACCTGTCTATCTCTCTTTTAAGCATCCCAAGAGATTCTGTCTCTTCAGCTTTCTGGGGCAAAAAGGTTCCCATGTGATAAGAAAAAGCTTCCTGACCTTGGTTCTAACCTCAGAGTTCTGAGGAAGGGTCGTGGACCCGAAATGTTGACTCACTTTCCTTTCTCCATACAGTGGAAGCAAGAGATTAAATATTTTTCAGCACTAATTTTATGGAGCAGTCCTTCTGGGACAATTTTTTTTGATCATAAGAGCATAAGAATTGCTGGACAAATGAAAACCAAGGTCCATCCAGTTTGCCTTCCACCATCCTAGTAGTCACATGCACATGTCATGTCCCAAACTATACTTTGAGCGGTGAACACAAGGAGGTCTATTCTAGAAATAAAGGCTATGCAGAACATTACAATGACATGAATTGCTACATCTTACCCCTCCTGATTTGCATTATCTTTATCTGCTGCCTTTTTGTCATTTTCTTCAGGCTTGTTCCTTCAAATTATGGACAATTCCAGTTTCAAACAGAAGCAAAAAAAATAAACACTCTCCCATGCATATGTCAAGTATTGTCTCCAAAGTGACCATTTACAATAGCTCATGTCTAAAGGTAATGTATAACAAACATCTTAATAATAATAATAATAATAATCCTTGCATTTGACATAGCATCTTATCATGTCTTCGAGACATCTCAAAGCGTGTCACAGAATGTACTATAAAGTTAATTGACTGTATATTTTGTGGGTGAAACACGGCAGCCAATTGAGCCCAGCGGTGTCCTACAAACAGTCATGGATTGAATGACCAAATTTATTTTGTGAATCAAAGTATTCAATTGGACAAAAGGGTTGGATTCTAACTACTGAATGGCAATTGGAAATATAAGACATCTATTGAGATAAAATAGCTACTAATAACGGGAGGTGTTACAAAGACACACAAATAAACCCAATAAATCCAACAGCAATCATTTGATTTACTCTGGATTCATAAACCCAATATTGGGTAGAAATCCTATTCAGAATATAGATTTATTCTATGTATCAAATTCTTAATGCTCTGAAATGCTACATTAATAATAATAACAACAATCTTTGCATTAGATATAGCACCTTATCACATTGTTGAGAATCTCAAAGCACTTCACAGAATATATTGCAAAGTGCATTGACTGTGTATTTTGTGTGCAAAACACACAATTAATAATAATTAATTAAATAAATCTAGACCCAGATAGAATTTCTTCCCAGTTGTTCTTATGATCTAAAGCATAAAACAACTTGGCTTACTGGCTGTGCATTTTATCAGGATGAACTCCGAAAGGAAGCTCTAATGGACTAGTATGTTCTAATGCACATATGTTAGGTGGATATTACTGATAAAGTCTGCTAGATATCAGTAGTAAGGGTTGGTTACAGTCTCTAGTAAGGAAGGGGGATTAGGTTTGGTCTGAGTTTCTTACCCCTCGTCCTTGTTGTTGCTGTTGTTGACATTGGAATGTGCCAAGAGCCCTTGGCTGCAGTTTTGCAAAACACAATTACATCACTAAACATTGCCACAGCGCTAATTCCATTAATTTGTCACAACAAACATCAAAGTATTTGGATAATAATATAATCCTTGCAATTGATATGGTGCTTTCCACGTTGAGAGGACCGGTCAAAGATTTTCAGAGGGATTTACTGTGAAGTGCATTGACTGTATCTGGCAGGCAAATGTCGTACAGTTCAGTATATTCACTACACATTACTGGAAGCGCAAACCCACTTTTGTTGCAATTTGTTTTAATCAATAGAGAGCAACATAGGTAAACCAAAAATTGTCTTAGAAAATGTTCGGATGCAAAGGAATATATGTGGTGATCTTTTTATAAGGAGCCCTGGTTTGTTGTGGCTCAATTTAAGAGTGTGGTATATCTGGCTTTCATTGCTAAAACTAAATGGGTGGCATTACTTCCTACCACTAAGGTCACTTCCTGTGGATGTGCTCAGGAAGTGATTCAGTGATGACTGGATGATCCATAAGATGGCCATTTTATTTAGCGAGCGGGGTTTCATCGCATGGGTCTGAGATTGTGGACCCAAATTGCCATGTTATAATGCAATAAACATGTTATAATAAGGTCAACCTGTAACAGCTAACTGTGCCCGAAGGCTTTGGATCAGGAAAGACTCCTTTAATACCTTCGCCCTACAGGGGCAAAAGATTTTTTGCACTTACCAAATCCTGAAAGGAAAATGCATTTTATTTGATACCATTTTTAAGTATGATCAACAAGAATCTAATTACAAAACGATTCATAATAATAATCCTTGCATTTGATGTTGTGCCTTATTACATCTTCGAGATGTCTCAAAGCACTTCACAGAATATACTATAAAGTGAATTGACTGTATATTTTGTGGGCGATAAGCAGCAGTCAATGGCGCACAACAGGGTCCCATAAAAAGTCTGGATGGAGTAACCAATTTTTTTTTGAAGGAATTGTTACCTCTGGAAAAGTGATCTGCCAAAGTGATCGACTAAGGAGCTGGGTTCCTATTTACTGTTGGTAAACAGGTCTGGACTAATGAAACTTGCCCAATGTTTCGCCCTGCCAGGAATCAAACCCAGGTCTCTGGCTTGCGAGGCAAGTGCTCTAACCACTGAGCTACAGGACTCCACAGTCCTGTAGCTCATGTTTATTTATACCCGGGATAAAAAATTCCCCCTATAAATAGCACCCGATGTCTGCTCTCTTGCAACGTATTATTAGGTAGCTACTGTATATATAAACACACTAATATATGAACTGATATCAATTACTTTTAATTAATGTGTATTTTCTTGAAGTGTCTGTCTTATGTTGCACATTCTGTTCGCTTCTGATGTCTTCAAAAGTACATTACAGACAATTTCCTGTGCTTTCACGTTTATATTTCAAGCTCACAAAAGAGGTTCGGATGAAGAAGGTCCTTTGGCCCATTTGATCTCATCCTTACAGAAACCCCACCTTACCATCCTCCCATCACAGCATCAAACTGATTTTAAATAAGTCTAGCATCCTCCTCATATATAACAAAAAATTACATTTGTATAGCGCCTTTCACATCAGAAGGACATCCCAGTGTACTAATTCAAGATCTTCATCCTCACCTCCAAGGCCATTCATGGCCTCGCTCCCTCCTACCTCTCTGACCTACTATCCCCCTACTTACCCGCCCGTACCCTCCGTTCCTCTGGCTCCGGTCTGCTCCACATCCCCCGCCCCAATCGCCCTACCATCGGTGGCCTTCAGCCTCTCAGCCCCGAGGCTCTGGAACTCTATCCCCAGTGCCTTCGCCGCTTCCTCCCTTTCCTCCTTCAAGGCCGGTCTCAAGACCTTTCTCTTTGACTGTGCCTTCAGCTCTCCTCTCGACTCTCTACCCCCTCCTCGCTCCCTCCCTTCCCTCCCCTCACCCTGACCATTTCCCCCCCAATGCTCGGGTCCTGACCCAACTGTACAGCGCCTTGGGACGTCCTCCTGACGTGAAAGGCGCTCTATAAATGGAATCTTGTTGTTGTTGTATACAGCCTGGCAACCTATTCTAGTTGTTAATTACATGCTGTGCACAGGAATACTTCCTGGTGTCTGTCCTGAAATCAATGATAATAATACTTGCATGTGATATCACGCCTTATCACATTGTTGAGACGTCAGGAATAGAAGGATAGGGATTCAACTCGCCGAGTGAAGCACTACTGAGAGGGGCTGATGGGAAAGTGTACTGGGAATGGCAAGGGAATGTGATCAGGTTTCCGGCGGGGATACAGAAAATCACCACTTACTCCTCGTCCTTGTTGTTACAATTGTTGGCATTGAAACACACCTGAGACCAGTGGCTGTAGCGGTTAAAAGCGCAACAGAAATGTACAAAGACCTTGAATGATCGGAAATCGTGCTTGTACTAACTCTAGGTTGGCTTGGCTCATTCCGGGAACTTCCTTTCAAAAAAAACAAGATGAATGGGCCCAATTATTTTCTTTTCTTTCTCCCCGTTGCTCTGCTCCTGGTCTGGTCTCCTCTCCCCCGGCTCCGCGGCCGCTGGTTATTCTGCATGACCAGTAGAGGGAGCCGCAGATGGATTTGGAGCAGGAAACCTGACTGATTTAAACCCCCCTGATCCAAGGAATGGTGAGGTCAGTGTATTCTCCTCATACAGCCCCGGTTGAGACCAGCAAACTCGTTACAGACTGGGACTTGAACCAGTTAGCTCCTGCAGTTTTATCCCCTAGAATAGGAAGGTCCAACCTTTTGGCTGCTGATGGCCGGACGCCGGATTTGAGAGACATCTGTGGACCGAATAAAGCAAGATTTCCGGAATCTGCAGTATTTTGCGGGGTGTTTTTTTAAGCAATATTCTATCCTGATTGGCCAGTCCTGTTGCGGGGAGAGTCTGACCCCCGGTGACCGTCTCCTGATTGCCTGTCGCCTATGTTTGCTCGTCAGGCAATGAAGTTGGAAATGGTACAGTACGGTGAAATGGAGCAAGCAGAATAGAACCATACAGATTTACAGCACAGAAAGGCCATTCGGCCCATCGTGTCTGTGCTCATGCCCTCAAGAGCAATCCTTTCAGTCCCATTTACCTGCCCTTTCCCCATCATTCTGTAGCTGACTCTTTTCAAGGTATCTGTCTAGAATAGGAAGGGGTGCATTGAAAGGCCAGTAAAGTTTATGCTCTAATGAGTCCAAAACACACTTACAATCCATGTGGTGCCAAGTGCTTACACTAAGGTTGATGTGAAACATACCAATCAGTACACAATACTGGTTCTGATTGCTATATTAAATCAATTTTGCATTCACATTCTGGATTCCCAATATTTGCACTCACTGGAAACTTTGGTTTGCAAAATCCTTGATGTATTCTGGCTTTTGGGACTCAATAATCCTTGCATTTGATGCAGCCTCTAATCACGTCGTCGAGACATCTCAAAGAGCTTTGTAGGATTTAACTGTGAAGTGTAGTGACCATGTACTTTGTAGGCAAACGCGGCAAGCAAGTTGTACACACATCGCAGAAACAACCATGAAGCGAGTGACAATTTTCTTTAACCTGGGGGATTGTTGGCCAGGAAAAGATAGTGGGATCTTTATAGGTTCAGACAGGATAACATAACATAACATGTAGGAGCAGGAGTAGGCCATTCGGCCCTTCGAGCCTGCCCCGCCATTCAATCATGGCTGATCTTCTAATCTAACTCCAGCTAATAACCTGACCCTGCCTTATCCCCATATCCCTTAATCCCTTTTGCAATACGAAATACATCTATCTCAGTCTTGAATATGTTCAAGGACTGAGCGTCAACAGCCCTTTGGGGTAGTGAATTCCATACATTCACCGCCCTTTGAGTGAAGAAGTTCTTCCTCAACTCAGTGCAAAGGGCTGCCTCTGATTTTAAGGTTGTAACCCCTGGTTTTAGTTTCTCCAACCGGGGAAACAATCTCCCACTATCTACTCTATCTGCCCTTTGATGATCTTATAGGTTTCTAGAAGATCCCCTCTAATTCTTCTATATTCTAGAGAATATAGGTCCAAATTGGTCAGCCTATCCTCGTAACTCACCCCCTTCATCCCTGGTACTAACCTAGTAAATCTACGCTGCACCCCCTCCAAGGCAAGTACATCCTTCCTTAAATAAGAAACATCCGAAGGACGGCACCTCCGATAAGGTAGCGTTCTCCCAATACTCAAGTGTCAGTCCAGTCTGAGTGAGTTTAAAGGCCCTGTCATGACTAAGCCAGGCTGACACATAATTGGCAAATACTGGCACTTACTTCTTACTCTTCCCTTGACGCTCTGGATTGCCCATCCCTGACTGGGTGTTGCTCTCCCTGCTGGACGCCTCCTTTATTTCTGGCCCTCGAAAGCGTTCCAAGAAAGAGTCAGGCCTCTGATCTTCGGTGTGCATGTGCCGAGCCGCCCAATTCCTCAGAGTGAGGATAAGATGACTTATTCTGCCCAAACACAAACACTTCGAACGTTTACAAAATGCAGACAGGGACGTATGCATGTTGCCATTATTAAAATCTTAACGGTAGATTTGATATAATGCCTAATATGAAACTTTTCAAAGCATTTCCGGTAAAGTGTAGTGACTGTGTATTTTGTACGTGAACGCGGCAGCCAATTTGCACGCAGCAATGTCTCACAAACAGCCATGAAGGGAATAACTCATTTCATTTGAGAAATTCCTTCTCTTTTCGAATAGGATCTTTTAACGTCCACCTGAACAGACACATGGGATCTCGGTTTAATGTCTCATCCGAAGGACAGCGTCCGGAAGACATCTCAAAGTGCTTTACCAAACCTGGTGGTGAAGTGGGGTGGGAGAGTTGAAGAGGGTGGACTGGGGGTTGGGAGTGCTGGGGGTTGCGATGGCTGAAAATACAGTCGAAGTGTAAATCTTGATGATGAACTGTGACAGTGGGGAGTGAGTGCATGAGCCGGACAGACTATGAGAGGGAATAGGTGCAGAATGGCTGACGGTGGGGCAGATAGGGCAGCGGAACATGAAACAGGGAAGTCGATCTGAGCTAAGCTACTAGAGGCGTTAAACACTAACAGAGAATTACACATGTAAATGCGGGATTTGGGGGGGGAAAAAAAATCTTTGCTTAATCTGTGTTTAAGGAAACTAATCCGGCGCTGTACAAGTCAGTCAGGGTGATCTGCAGACAAAGAGATTACCTGGCGAGCGCGTGGGCACCATTGGCTGAACTCCTGCGGGATTCAGGCTGCCCTTTGGTCTCCATGGAGATCACTCGCTGCAGCTCGGAGGACGTGTCTTCGCACAGCGAGTGAGCCCTGGGCAGTGATCAAGCAACGATAAAGAAACACAGGCAACAGCTATTAGTAAACAGACAGCGTTCAGAGAGCAGTTATAATTACAACAATAATAATAAAATACAACAATAATAATAAAACTTGCATTTGATACAGAATAGAAGAAAAACAAGCAATGGAATAGGGCCACTGAAGGTGGGTTCGGGAGAGAGAACATGACAAATAATGATGCACAGGCTGGAATAGTGCTAAATCAGTCTTTTGCCTCAGTCTTTACCAAGGAGGAGACGGGTAACCTATCTGATCTAGAAAGAGAACTCAAGGATGTCGCAGAGAAAAGTTGCGACACTATTCATATCACTACCAGCATGTTTGCCAAACCGCTGTGCCAACTTAAGGTAAATAAATCTCAAGAGCCGGATAAATTGCATCCGAGGATCCTTAAGGAACTAAGGGAGAAAGTGGCAGAAACTCTGCCACAAATCACTGAATACTAAGGAGGGGCCGGGGGACTGAAGAAAGGCAGATGTTACTCTTATTTTTAAGAAATGTAACGAAAGTGACCCAGGAAACTACAGACCAGTAAGTTTGACGTCCGTTGTGAGTAAAATTATGGAGATTCTTATTAAGGATAAAATCATGCAGCACCTGGACAGACATAAAATCAAAAATGATAACCAATATGGGTTCATGAACGGGAGGACTTGCCAATCTAATTTACTGGTTTTCTTTGACAGAGTGACAAGGGAGGTTGATAAGGGTAAGTCTATGGATGTTGTATATCTGGATTTCAGTAAGGCTTTTGATACAGTTCCTCTTGAAAGGCTGATACTCAAAGTAAAGAAAGCAGGATGTATACTGCAATGGATATGAAACTGGTTGACCAGAAGAACCCAGAGGGTGGTGGTACAGGGAATATCATCAAACTGGGAAAATGTTACCAGTGGAGTTCCACCAGGGTCTGTTTTGGGACCTCTTTTGTTTAATATTTTTATAAATGATCTGGAACTAGAAGTCGCAACTACAGTGGCTAAATTTGCAGATAAGATGAGGTTACAGGAGGATTTGAACATACTTGGGAATTGGGCAGATTGGTGGCAGATGAAATTCAATGTGGAGAAATGTAAAGTACTTCACACGGGGAAAAAAGAATCATGGAAAGGGACTATTATTTGAACGGAAGAAGAAGAATATAATAATAATAATAATAATAATCATTGAATTTGATATAGCGCTTCTCACGTCGGGAGGACGTCCCAAAGCGCTTCACAGAACACACTGTGAATTGACTGTATACTTGTGGGCGAACGCGGCAGCCAATTGCGCACAGCAATGTCCCACAAACAGACGTAGATTAAAAATGACCAATTTAATTATTGTTTTTGGTTTTTGGAGGGATTATTATTAGGCTCCGTGTGGAGTAAGTAAAGTTGCCGGAGGTTTCGCCCTCTGCCTGGAATTGAACTCAGGTCTCTCACTTGCAAAGCGAGTGCTCTAACCACTGAGCTACAGGACTCCACAATATATATGGAAAATGAAAAGGTCCTGATTGACAATAAATTGAATCTCTCCCAACAATGCTCTGTGTCAGTGCGTAAAGCAAACCCAGATGTTGGGATGTATCAAAAGATCAACAGCAAGCCGAAATAGTGGGGTAATCCTACCACTGAATAAATAATTGGTGAGACCATACTTAAATACTGTGTACAGTTCTGGTCGCCACAGTACAAAAAGAAATCAAGATACAGAGGAGGGGAACCAAAATGATTGAGGGAATGGAAAGACTGGACTATGAGGTGCAACTAAGTAAATTGGACATGTTCACGCTGGAAAAGAGAAGATTGAGAGGTGACGTGATTGCTGTCTTTAAGATTCTAAAAGGGCAACAATATAGATCATGATCGGCTGTTTCAACTTGTCCAGAATAGTAAAACTAGAGGACATAGCGTGGGATTGAAGGGGATAAATCAGAACAAATCTACGCAAACACTATTTCAGTGAGTGAATAGTGAACCTGTGGAACAGGTTCCCTTAGGGAGACGATTGAAGCAGGAAGTTTTGATTCTTTCAAACACAGATTAGATCATTTTCTTTTGGGAAATAACATTATGGGATACAGCAAATAGATAGTTCAGGACATATATGAACTAGATGGACCTTGGTCTTTTATCATCTAGCATTTCTTATGTTCTTATGTTCTTCATAAGATCGTAGAATTATAGAATTATACAGCACAGAAGGAGGCCATTCGGCCCATCATGTCTGTGCCGGCACTTTGAAAGGAGGCTTTGAAAAGATCCAAATCAATCCCGCTCTCCCGCTCTCTCCCCATAGCCCTGCAAACTTGTCCTCCCCAAATAATTATCTATTTCTCTCTTAAAAGTTGTTATCGAATCGGCTTTCACAAAACTCTCAGGCAATACATTCCAGAGTCGAACAACTCGCTGTGTGAAAACATTTTTCCTCATCTCCCCTCTGTTTCTTTTAACAACTGTTTTAAATTGGTGTCCTCAGGTTACCGACCCACCCGCCACCTCTCTAGCTGAGGCCTAACCAGTGTTTTATAAAGGTTCATCATAACTTCCTGACTTTTGTATTCTGTGCCCCTATTTATAAAGTCCTATCTTATAGCGCCTATCACGTTGTCAAGACATCTCAAAGCACTTCACACAATACACTGCAAAGTGGATTGAATGTATATTTTATGGGAGAATCGCGGCACTGCATGCGTGGATTGAGTGACCAATTTTTTTTAAGGGATTATTACCCCCGGAAAATCATTTTCCAATTGACTAACAACGGGGTTCCTACTTACTACTAAATAAACAGAGGCGTGTGGAGTAAGGAAACCTGCCTAAGGTTTCGCCCTGCCTGGGAATCAAACCCGAGTCCTCTTGTTTGCACGGCGAGTGTTCTCACCACTAAGCCACAGTTTTCTTGCATGCCCACCAGACCACTGTTTCACGCAAAATCTCAATAAACTAATCGCTGGAGACAGTAGCAAAATTGCATTTGTTAAGTTAAAAGCTATCAAACATTAACAACCTTGTAGAGGCAATCATGGAGTGATAAGCGAATGTCAGTGTTGATTCTATTCACTTTGGGGCAGTTACTGACCGGACTTTTTATTGCATGATAAACCGTAATGGGCAATTTGTAAATCAACTGTGCAGTAAAAATAATAATTTGCATTTGATGTGAATTAAAAATTCCTTGTAACTGATATAGTCGCTTTTCACTTTGGGAAAACGTCTAAAATGACTTCAAGCAAAGAACGAGGCCATTAAGCCCATTAGGCCTGCGCTGGCTCTCCAAATGAGTTATCCATTTATCCTACTACCCCTTAACCTGTCCGCATACCCTTCTAATATTTTGTACTGGCTCAATTATTCAGTTGTTAGCACTGTCTCTTCTGAGTCAGCAGGTTGTGGGTTCAAGAGCCACGTTGGGACCTGGAAACACATAGTTAAGCTGACACGCCAATGCCACTCTATGGATGAGACTTTAAACCGAGATCCCATCTGTTTGGACGCTAAAGACGATAAAGATCTCATGGCACTATTCGAAAAGAGAAGGGAGTTTCTCCCAGTATCCTGGCCAAAAACTCCCCAAAATAAGAAAATTGGTCACGCACCTCCTTAGCTCTTCTGTGTGCAACTGGCTGCCATGTTTCACCTACAAAATACACAGTCACTACACTTTGCAATATATCCTGTGATGTACTCTGAGCTATCCTCCCGAGGCTACATAAAATGTAAGAATTAGACAATATAAATATGTGTGTAATTTTATTTTAAAGGATATTTATGGATTCTGCTTCATCCATAACAGGATAATATCTTGTTGGGAGTCTTAATTGTGGAGTCCTGTAGCTCAGTGGTTAGAGCACTCGCTTTGCAAGTGAGAGACCTGAGTTCAATTCCAGGCAGAGGGCGAAACCTTGGGCAAGTTTCCTTACTCCACACAGAGCCTAATAATAATCCCTCCAAAACCAAAAACAATAATGAATTGGTCATTTTCAATCCACAACTGTTTGTGGAACATTGCTGTGCGCTATTGGCTGCCGCGTTTCGTCCACAAATATACAGTCAATTCACTTTATAGCATATTAAGTGAAGCGCTTTGGGACATCTGGAAGACGTGAAAAGCGCTATATCAAATGCAAGGATTATTATATGTTATTATTGTAAATAATCCACTGTATAAAATAACCTTTGTTATTGTAAATGTATGCCCTCTGGATTCCCACTTCAGTAGAGCACTGAAGGAAGTGATCGAAAAAGGGACAATAAAAAGAGGTGTGTTCCGTACCTGCTGTTGCCATTTTCTATTCTCTCCGACTCGTCCTCATGTGTCCTGACCGACAGCTTGTGAATGGTCGGGTATGTGTGCTGGGTGCTAATGGTGGCCATGATCTCTCATACCACACCGCGTGCAACACACTCAGCCTTCAATCCACACCTGCTGGAGAGACACAGGAGCCATTAGATCAATAGAAGGTTCAGCACGTACACGTTAGTGATCAGCCACCAGCAAGAAAGGGAAAAGTGACAGTCAATTGTAATTGAGGAGTATCCCAGCAGTATCCCAGTGCATACTCTGGCATCCCCGAACCTTGGCTGTCACCAGCCCATACCTAACACTCGCTGCAATTAGCTAAGCAGGTTGTATCCCTCCAGAGAAAGAGCGTGCAGTCCATTCCAGACACAGGGAAATTTCCAGGCGTAGATGGCATAGGCATATGGAATTCTTTGCTTGGTTTGGATGCTCTTAAGCAGGGTGATGGGTTTCCGCATGTGTCAGACACCCGGCCGACCAGAAAAAAAGAATTGCCACCACAGAGTACAGTGCAGTGTCCGACACAGACGGAAACCTGTCACCATGCTGGAGAGTACAGGAACCAAAGTTCCGCATATGCATAGAAATTTCCCTTTTTAGGAGTCCTCCTGATGAGAAAGGTACTACTCTTCTTCTTATTATTATTATAATGACCAGTAGCTCTCGTTATCAAGTCGGAAAGAAAACTCAGCTTTGTCCACATTCTGGAACCGAAGCCATTGCAACCCTGACAGGGAAAGATCTCCTTGGTGTCAAGCAGATGTCAGCCTGGCTCACCTCTGAGTCACAAGGTTATGGGTTCCACCTCAACGCTCATAGTTTTGAGTCTGAAGCCCAGTCACAGTGGCGCTCAGAATGCATAAGAAAATGTTTCCTGAAAGGACCTGTTAACTGCCTGTATTTTGTAAATTAATTTGTTTATTCATTGAATTGTTGAACACAGGAATAACCATAATCCTTTATATAAACAGTTAAGTAGCCTCAAATGGAAGTGAATTCAAGTTAACTAGAACTAGCTTACAATGGAAGAAAATCTCTAGTCAGTATATATTCCATCTATTGCTTTAATAATAATAATATCCCTTGTATTTGACATAGCGCCTTATCGTGTTGTCGAGACATTTCAAAGCGCTTCACAGAATATACTGTGAAACGGGTTGACTGTGCGTTTTGTGGAGGAAACGAGGCAGTTGGTTACGCATAGCAGTGTCCCACAAATAGTCGTGGATTGTGTGACCAATTTTACTTGGAGGATTGTTGGCCGGGATACCAGGAAAAATTCTCTTCTCTTTTCAAATAGCGCCATGGGATCTTTAACATGCACCTCAACAGGCAGATGGGAAAATATCATTACTCTATGAATATTTAAAGTGTGTGTGTTTGAAATGTACAGGTCTTCTCATACAATTTCACAACTACACACACACACACACACACGAAATGTTGAACCACAACTAGATCCAGCTTGGTTCAGTTGGTAGCCCTCTCGCCTCTGAGTCAGAAGGTTGTGAGTTCAATCCCCACATTGGGACCTTTGGCAAGTTTCCTTACTCCACACGCCTTTGGTTACCTAGCAGTAAGTAGGAACTCAGTTGGTCGATTGGTACATTGCTTTCCTGGGATAATAGGCCCTCCCCAAAAATTAAAAGGGCATTCAATCCATGACTCTTTGTGGGACACTGCTGGATGCAATTTGTTGCCGTGTTTCACCTACAAAGTACACAGTCAATTCGCTTAAAATATATTCCGTGAAGCGCTTTGAGACATCTCAAAACTATGATAGGGTACTATATCAAATGCAAGGATTATTATATATTATTATTCTACACTGTAAAGTGCAATGACTGTGTTTTGTGGGTCGAATTTGGCAATGAACAAGACCGCTCAAGAACTTAAATAGAGTTGTCACTAACAACAACTGAGTTGTCAGGTCTCACCTATATGTTTAAAGATTGTGGATTAAATGCCTCACATCAGCATAAGCTCATTGCCTAGCTTGACACTGAAGTGCAGAACATGGTAACCTCATTGTAATGAGATCCTCAGGGCCCAATCTCCCTCGGGGCATATTATAAGAGACGTGCAAAAAATGGTTGACTTCTGGATACACGCTTGCAAGTCAAGCCTAAGAATAAAGTTGTATCATTCACTTCAAGGCTGTTTGTGAGACATTGATGTGTGCAATTGGCTTCTGCATTCACCCGCACAAATACACAGTCACTTTGCTTTACTATATTACAACCTGGAAGTACTTTGACGTGTCCTTCTGATGTGAAAGGCACTATACCAAGTGCAAGATTTACTACTACGAATAGTATTATTATTATAGAATTATAGAATCATTATTATTATAGAAGCATCACTGATGATACCTCCTTTGCAAAGGAAGTCACATCAGTGGTGCTTCTTGCACATATTTGTGGAGTCCTGTAGCTCAGTGGTTAGAGCACTCGCTTTGCAAGTGAGACACCTGAGTTCAATTCCAGGCAGTTGGCGAAACCTTGGGCAAGTTTCCTTACTCCACACAGAGCCTAATAATAATCCCTCCAAAACCCAAAACAATAATAAATCGGTCACTTCAATCCACGACTGTTTGTGGGACATTGCTGTGCACAATTGGTTGCCACGTTTCACCCACAAATATACGGTCAATTCACTTTACAGTCTATTCTGTGAAGCGCTTTGGGACGTCGAGACGTTGTGAAAAGCGCTATATCAAATGCCAGGATTACTATTTATTATTATATTATCTTGAGCTTCCTGCACAGAGAGTACATGCAAACAGGAAGTAACAACAGCAACAAACTGACAACCTGAAAGTCAGATTTTTTTTTAATGCAAATAACCAGCGAGACAGGACCTTAAGTCAGTTCTGGGTGTCCATAACACACTGGTATGATAAGCAAGGCAACACTATCCTGGGGAGGGGTGTTATAATGGCTTTGCTGTGCTCTGCATTGCCAGAGGTGCTTATTAAACCGAGGTAGCACATACTTGTTCAGATGGACATTTTAGATCTCCCGCTATCCTGGTCAACACTCTTCCAGGTTACGTGATCATTCCCCCTCCTCGCAGCTGTTTGTGGGTGCTTTGCTGACACAAAACAACTGCTGCATTTGCCAACAAATATACAGTCCCCCCACTTGGCATTAATTACTGTGAAGTGCTTTCAGATGTTAGATGGGAGGAGGCACCACAAACATGCAGGTTTCATTTAAATCTGGGTTTAGCACAGAGACAATACGCTGCAAAATTAATAACTTGCATTACATTACAACGCCTTATCACATTGTGAGAGATCTCAAAGCGCTTCACCAGATGTGCTGAAAAGTGTAGTGCATTTTGTAGGCACAGACAGCATAAAGTGAATGATCAGTCATATCTGGGGAATTGTTGGTTGGGACACCAGTACAAACTCCCTTCCCCTTTCGAATAGTGCCATGGGATCGTTAATGCCCACCTGGACAGACAAAGAGCGGCGCTGAGTTAAACATCTCACCCGAAGGACGGCACCTCTGGCAATGCAGCAATCCCCCAGCACTGCACTGGAGTGTCAGCTTTAGACTCTATAAGTTCCACGTCCGTATCTGGTGCTTCTCTCAGAGACGAGAGCTGAGTCAATTGGAATGAACTACTACTAATAATCATCCTTGCATTTGATATAGCGCCTGATCATATCTTTGAGACATCTCAAAGTGCTTCTCAGAATACACTGTAAAATGTAGTGACTGTGTATTTCGTAGGCGAAACGCGGCAGCCAATTGCGCACAGCAGTGTCCCACAAACAGTCACGAATTGACTAACCAAATTATTATTTTTTTGGTAGGATTATTACCCCCAGAAAGATGGTTCATTCCCAGAAACAAACTGTAAAGAGACACAAAACAGTTTACAATTACTCCAGACACAGGATGGAATACCCATCAACAACTGTTCACTGCATGGACAGCAATTGGTTTAAATATTCCAACCCATAAATGTTTTGCAGCTAGAAAGCACATCACAATCATTTAGAGTCTTATTTTTTGTCCTGAGCAGAATGAGGAGATTGATGCTAAATTCTCAATTTGCAAACATTTCCTTGCTGTGCGCAAATCAGCTGCCGAGTTTGCTCATGAAACACACGCAGTCACAGCACTTCACATTATAACCCGTGAAGTGCTAAAAGGCTTTAGCAAGAGGTTCAATTCCTGGGCAGGGTGAAACCTCAGGCAAGTTTCCTTACTGCACATGCCTCTGATTACCTAGCAGTAAGTATGAACTTAGTCGATTGGCGGATTGCTCCCCAGCGGTAATAATCCCTTGAGAAAATAAATGTGGTCACTCAATCCACCACTGTTTGAGGGATACTGCTGTGCACAATTGGTTGTCGCATTTCTCCCACGGTCAATCCACTTTACAATACATTTTGTGAAGCGCTTTGAGGCGTCTCAACGGCATGATAAGGCGCTGTATCAAACACAAGGATTCTTCTTATTATATCAGATGCAAAGGTTATTATTTCTCTAGGCTGTTTATTGGGGTTACGGCATTTGTGGGGAGCAACAAGAACAATAACAACAACTTGCATTTATATAGTGTACCCTCGTGCAGGGTAGCGTACCAGAGCCCTTAACTCCAACCTGTAGCAAATCATGCGACATTGGGTTACATTACTCTGGGTGATCATATCCAATACCAGTTTATAGGCCGACAGGAGTCAGCTAAGGAATCCCTCATGGTCCTTGCATTCCTCAAAATAATAGCTCACACTGAAAGGCATCAATACTTAACAGCTCTCCTTACGTGAAGTGAATCCTCTAAATCTCCTAGCTAATAAATATAGTAAATTGCCCTGCTCTGGGCACTCATTTTACAGCCAGTCGCTGGGAAATGCTGATATGTATCATCAAACTCCAAACTCCCAGTTTCATCTAAAACAGTTAAGACGATGCTGTAGCTCTGCAGCCTTATGTTCTGCAAAATCAGTCTGATCTCTGTTAAAGTTTCCCCCCCATTGGGACGTTTGGCTCCGTTCTGTGAACACAGGAACCAGTTAACCTGTTCCAATACCTTCAGGAACAATGGCGACTTGCAT